AAAAAAAAAAAGGTTTTATTAATGTCATGAATAAAAAAAATCTTACCAATGATCCCTGGCTTACAATGGTGTTAAGTCCTGAAAAACCCATAATAAGTGGAAAAATCATGCTGATTTTTCATCAGTGTTGAACAATCCTACCCAACAATGCAGCTTAGCCTACCTACTTAAACTTAGGACATTTATACTAGCCTACAGATGGGCAAAATCATCTAACACAAATCCTATTTTACAAGGAAGTGTTGAATAATTTGCCTAATTTACTGAATGCCATATTGAAAGTGAAAACCAGCAACATTGTAGAAGCTGAAAAATCACTGAGTTGAACCAATATAGGTTAGTACTGTCTATATATTCTATGTGAACAGAACTGTTAAGAATGAAAGAATAGTAAAAGAAGATATTTCTATTTTTTAATATTCTGCTTTATTTTAGTTGGCCTAAATGTACGATTAGGTAGTTAGAAGTATGACAGCAAAAATTCTATTTGCCTACAGAGATAGATTCCCTCTTCTGTTTCCTTCATAGGCATCTTCTAAACAGCCTTGTGGCATATCACTATTATTACTCTGCTTATAACACATTGTTGGTGACCCATGATCTAGGAAGTAAAATCCAAGTTCCTTAAAACCCCTCTCTAACTTGACCATTTCACATCTTCAGTCTCAGGTCCTATAACTTCCTGCTTTATGCCTTTTACTTCAATAATACATAACTGATTATGGGTTCCTGGCACATTTCTTCCTGTTTCCTGTTTTATGAGTAAAAACTGTTTATAAATACATGTGAAGCCTTTTTTTTTTTTTAAATCTACTTTTGCGAACACTTATATTGCAATGGTAGGCTACAAATGACATACTTCTCTTCAAATGAAGTCTCTGGTTTAAGAGGCAACTTGGTTTTTTCAGGAGTTTCCATTCCTATAGTTGCTGCCGATAATGAAGGGACTGAAACTTGCAAGATGCTGGTGTGGAACTGTAATTACAAAAATACACACACAAAAAAATCAATCAATCAATCAATCAAACAAGCAAAGACTTAAGCCAGAGAGAAACAAAACATAAATAAGATGAATAAAAGGTATAGTGACAAAATCTTATACCTCATATACCTCTGTTTAGAACTCTATTGCAATATTTATAAAATTATTTCAGGAAACAAGCATCTATATAAAAGAAGCATTAATCAAAGAAAATATCCTGGAGAGAGGTAATTTTTAAACTTGGTTCTGAGTAAGACATTGAATACTTTGAGTAAGACATATCAAATACCATTAAGCAAGTTTATAGCAAATTTAATGGCTTCAGGCCCTGGCTAAATCCTTGGCTCTGACATACTTGCATATGTGATTTTAACTGCATCAATCTCCTCCTCTGTATAATGAGGATGACAGTGCCCACCCTCCTCAGGGTTCCAATGACTTCACATGAGAGTTGGAGAAAAGTACTTATTGTAGACAAAGCACAATTTTCATTTTAATTTCTGCCATTAATCTAACATGGTACATTGGTCAAATTAATCATTATTCCATGTGTGAACTAGTTGACTAATTTCAATTCACAGAATTGATAAAAAATGTAATTAAAACCAATTAAAATGTACTTGTGGCTATCACTAAAAAA